CTCCAGAAGAGGAGCAGTCACTTACTCTGATGTTCACCCACCCAACCACCAAGTAGCAAAGTTCCAGACATGCACCCTAGAAGAGGAAAAAGGAAGCTCTCCAGCATTTGAGCATGTGACTGTGTATCTGTGTAATATGTACATAGCAATTCATGTACATGTCAACACGTGTGCCCACATGCCTTTAAAAAACTTGAACAGGGATTTATTAAGACTTATAATGCTTATTATGAGCCAGGCATATTCTGAGTAATTTATAAGCATTAATTAACTTAATCTTCATATCAATCATAAGGAAGTAGCTATTACACCTATTATACAGATCAAGAAACTGAAGCTGGGCATGGTGGTGCACACCTGTAATCCCAGCGGCTCAGGAGGCTGAGGCAGGAGGATCATGAGTTCAAAGCCAGCCTCAGCAACTTAGCAAGAACCTGTCTCTAAATAAAATATTTTAAAAAAGGGCTGGGAATGTGGCTCCGTGGTTAAGCACCCCTGGGTTCAATCCCTGGTACCAAAATAAAATGAAAAAAATAAATAGAGATAAAGAGACAAAGTCATTTACTCAAAGTCACAACTAATAAGAGGCAGTAGCAGGATTTGAACCCAAGTCTTTTGTTTTTTCATAAGCACATGCCAGGCATGTCATACATGTTAGTGCACATGCATCTGTGTGGATGTGTGTGTTTTTGAGGAGGGAAGGGTGAAATTGCTTTTCCCTCTGGTCTTTTAACCCAGATCTTATAGTTGCAAACCCTGTGTGACACTGCAATTTAATAAGAAACATATACTTTTTCTTTGACTTTGACTTAATTTTCTGGCACAGTGTTTCTAAAATCCTTATAATTTCCTGAGCTACAGGGGTGCTAGAAGAATCTTCTGTTCTAATATTTGGTCTTTGACCCTGGTTCCTGATGCAGAGCTCCCAATCCCTTGCAACTTCCTGAGTGATAGGAGTGTCTTTTGTTCTAGTTAGGTGACCCTTGGTGGGCTCCTGATGGGGGCTAGTCACCAGAAAGATCAAACCATGATTAGAGCTTGAAATATTCAGCCCCCTCCTCCCATATTCTCCAGGAAGGAGAGAGGAGCTGAAATTACCAATGGCCAAATGTAATCAACTATACCTACATGATGAAGCCTTCACAAAACCACAAAAGGACAGGATTTGGAGAAGCTTCTAGACAGCCCACATGGGGAAAGGCCTGAGGGTGGTGTACCTGGAGAAGGCACAGAAGGCCCTTTCCTTCCCACAGGGCCTGCCAAATGCATTTCTTCATCTGGCTGTTCGTTGGTATCCTTTGTAATAAACTTTATAATAAACCAATAAACATAAATGTTTCACTGGGTTCTGGGAGCCATCCTAGCAAATTAATTGAATTCAAGGAAGGACTCCTATGACTATGGGAACCCCAATCTGTAGGTGGCTAGTCAGAAGCACAGGCCACAATCTATTACTGGCTATTGGCATCTAAAATGGTAGTATGTGGCTGCCTATCAGATTCACTATGGAATCTAACTGTAGGTACATTGTGTCACAGTAAGTTATTCTGTAGGATACTCAGCTGGTGTCCACTGAATTAATTGCTTGCTGAAAGGGGAGAAATTCCCACAATCTCGTGTCAAAAGTGAAGTGTAGAGAGCAGTGGAGTATGAGATGAAAAGGAAAAAAAAATTTATAAGTCAATACTAAAAAAAAATTTTATAAGACAAAATTTTATAAGACAGAGGCATCTGTTGGACAGTCAGATCTGAACCTTGACTATTTCTGCTCAGGGTTGAGGCAAGCAGGCAGGGATCCCTCCAGTAATTACATAGATGAATAGAGATAGCCAGATGGCCCTGGGATGGCCACAGGAATCTACCCTCCTGTTTCCTACCTGACACTCAGAGTCACAGTTTCATCCAGCAGAGCCTGCAGCTCCCTCAGCCTGACAACAGGGGCCACCGGTCCTACACACTTGTGTCTTCTGGCCCAGGGCCATCAAGAAGGAGGCAACTGGGACACTTACTATCTCAACTGCTAGGGTGATAATTAAGACTTTAGAGCCTCTGGTTAAATTTCCTGGGGCTGACAAGAAACCTTATTTTGGATAATACCATTTAAGTTACCCTACAAACACTTTGGCAAACGGCTCTGAGATCTACATCTGAACTTTCCTGGCCTTTGCTGAAAAAAAGGAGAATGTGACCAGAGAACTGCTAGGGGAAATTCTGTTTTGAAATGGATACTACTAGATTCTATAAAGTAAGTACCTATGAGGTAGGTGTCAGTCATTGGTTTAGATATATCATCTTCTAAGTTTTAAAAAGTCTCAATATTATTAGTCCCATTTCCAGATAAGAAAATGAAGCTCAAATGGGAAAACTTCTGATTCCAGGGAGGTGTGTATACCCCAACTCTGCCCTGCAACCATGATACCAGTGCGCAAGGCAGACGCGGGCAAGGCATATGTCTGCTTTCTTCAGATTCTCCCAGTAGGCAGCCCCAGCTCAGGGAGAACCCAAACCCCTTAAATCAGAAGAGAAACCACCATAATTACAAAGATAGGGTCATTTATTCATGTTATATTATTGGATTTCAAAGGCAAAAATACAGTTGTTTGTTCTGACACCAAAATCAGATACAGCCTCTCCCAGTGGTAAATAGAAGCATTTGCATACATGGAAAATCAAAGTACACAGCACAACAGGTCTTTAGAACATGAAAACTGTCATCCTGGCTGTGTAGGACAGCCCATACCCAGCCCCAGGGGTAACAGAGACCCTGCCCAGGCTGAAGGCAAGCACAGCATTTCCTTTACCCTCCTGTGACACTTTTGCCCTCTGATCATCTCTAAAGGCCATTTGACACAGGATCACTAGCCACAGGATTTACAGACTTAAAGAAAGGCACAGCATGACAACTCATGGTGGTAACTCCCAGGTGAAGGAAATTCTCCAGAACCCTCAGCCCTGGAGTCTCAAGGGAGGACAAAGGACACCATGCAAGGCAAACATCCAGGCCTAACTATGCCTTTGGTTATGCCTTTAGCCTGGAGGGAGAAGGGATGAGGCTCAGAGCACTGGAAGATCAGCATGTGTGTGTGTGTGTGTGTGTGTGTGTGTGTGTGGTGGGGGAGACAAGAGAAGCAAATTTTCCATTGTTTCTGAGAATGAAACACATACTTGATATGGATGAAAATGTAACAGGAAGAAAAGAAGGGTGGGGGAGGTGGAATTTTGTTCAAGAGTAAAGGAAGTAACAAAGAAGTAGCCACTCAGAGCATTTGTCTCCTTTTTCTTAAGGCACTTTGGAAGAGTCAGGTTCTGGAAACAGAAAAGACCTCTCTGCATTTCCCAAAAAAAAACTCTCAGTACAATCAGTCTCAGTTTTAATAATTTCCTTATTAAGGCATGGGGAATGACAAGGAATACTTTTTGCATAGCCCAGGTGCTTCTGCAGAGGAAGGTAAGTTCTAACACATACAAAAGTGTCTGGGGAAAAAAAAAAAAGTTAGCATCTGAGATGCTAAAAGCGATAAAGGCACAGGTAGGATAGGGCCAAGCATAGCTCAGCCTCCAAACTCAGGGCAGGTATCCAGGAGGGCAGTGCTTGAGGTCCTGGCTGCCACTAACAAAGGGCTCAACCCTGGCAACTAAACCTTAGGACCTCAGCCCAAGCTGGACCTGGCAAAGGCCTCTATGGTAGGAAGTGCCTCTTGCTGTCTTACCCAGGTGACTACACATCCCCCAGCAGAGGCCTGCATTCCTGAAAGAGTCCCCTGTGGATTAACCTCATGGGGGTGGGAGCACCTGCTAAAACCCTGAGGGGGTACAGGAGGCTTTAGGCACCAGAGTTCTCAGGAGGAGACAAAGTGTGGGTTCAGATGAACTTTCTAATTTTCTAATTAAAAGGCACAGTCATTGTGGAGAATGAATAGTCTGTTTGACCCTGAGTGCCCCAGGCAAGTTTTGGGGAGCAGGCAAGAGGCAAGGAATGAAATGGGAGAGGAAGGAAAGAAGGGAAGTGTAAGAGAGGCAGGGGAAGGAGGAGGAGAACCGGTAATGCAGGGTGGGACAGGGAGTGTGGTGGCAGAGGCTCTGGGGAGGCCGGCCCTGCCAGAACAGAAGGTCCCTCCAGCTGGGGTGGAGCTAAGGGATGGTAAACAACCTGACTGCGGTTTTTTACAGTCCCACAGCCTAAGGGCCCGGAGGGGTCTGTCAGAAGGCTGAGGTTCCCTCTGCTCAGCCCACCTGGGGAGGGTGGGGGAGTAAGGAGTTCTGTCAGGTAGGCAAAGGCTGTCTCCCAGGTCTTTGCACTAGAGGTCTGGCAGGATAATGCTGACTGGGAGGTGTAGCCCTCAGCAAGAGAATGAAGGCGATTTTGCTCTTCATAAAACCTGGCCTGCCAGCTAAATCAGAGGCCCATTTGAGGCCATAACAGCATATATAATCCCGCCCAATCCCACCCCCAAAATGCTCAATTTCCTCCCTATATTTAAAATACCACAATAAAAATACATAGGAAATTCAAGTTTATATAGCATGCCCAGAAAAATAAATTGTCATGACTCAACACTAAACAGCTATGCAAATTTGGATCAACACAAAATCATGCTAGATCATAATTAGAACTCAATTTTTTTTCTTTCTTTAAAATACAAGCTGCTTAAAAAAAAAAAAATCTTTACATTCAGAAACCAGACAATCTGGAGATAGGCCACTGTAAGTGAGAACACCCAAGGTTTCGCTCTGATGGCTAAAGTTACCTTGGAATTCACACATTAGCAGGACAAAAGGTTCAAGGCTCAAGTTTAAAAATTCTTTTGCTAAGACACACACACACACACAGACACACAGACACACACACATACACACAGTGATTGTAATAGTTGCATACCACTGAAAAGAAATGGGGTGGATAACATGAAACTGGTTGAAATTTTGTGTTTTCTGTTAAAACATTGTTCAAAAATATACCAATCCAATTTCAGCAGCAGTTTCTAATTTTTCATGAAGTGCATGAAATTCACCACAATTTAGAGCAAAAATTCTTACCCATTTCACAATTTAGCCATTTTATCAGTGGGAACAAGCCCCACAGTCTACAAATTCTGAACTGTGCACAGTTCTGACTCTTTGGGGTGTCACTGTGAAAATGTCAAGAAGCACCCAAATGCTGACAGTCTACACTGACAAACACCTTRTACAGCTAAGAAGTCATATGCCGAGCCAAGTTGGGGGCAAAATATTCCACTTGTCCTGGTCATCTGGAAAGGCATCTGAATGATGAGTGAGGRGACCTATCACTCAGATTGTACAAATGAGAGGGACCAGCCCAGCAGACTGGCCGAGAAACAGCAGAGGTCTCTGGCCATTTTCACGTCCTTAATTTGTACCAAGATGCTAGCTTGGTGTACCGATGTCCACTGTGATTTTGGTATACAATGGGTATCTCTGTACATCCAACACATGGTAGGTAAGTGAGTTCAAACCATCATAGCGCATTGTATCCCTTGTGTGTGCAATTCGGTCAAACCTACAAGGAAAAAAAGGAGAAGGTATCAAAACAGAAATCTTAAGAAAAAACTATTTTCATCTGTACTTTTCCTCTATACCCTCTCTCCCACTTGACCCTGCCCAGACTGAATGCCTCTATTTCCCTGCAGACATAAACCCTCTCCAGAGCATAAGTCCTGCAGCCTGTCCCATCCTAAAGTGGGGAGAAGACAGAACACAAAATGAATACAGAACGCACCTCTGAGGGTTGGGTTCATTTTTCTTGTCTCTCGAGTGGCGGATCATGCGACACCTCCCGWTCACAGCATTTGGGCGAGATATAGACATGCCTCTAAAAACTAATCTGCAAAGAGCAAAGGGACAAGTTATTAAGAGAGAGGTGCCATAAGGCTTGGGTCTGATAGTCCCAGCTGTGAGACTGTTGCCCCATCTGTCAACTCTGCTTGCTATTCTCACTCAGCCCAAACCCCAGCATCATGACAAGACCCAGTCCAGCAAGACACTAGTTTAAATTCAATCCTACTCCTTGTTCTTTCACAACTAGTTCTGCAGTGTGTGGGACTGCCTAGCATATACCAACATTGAGGGTGTCTGCCCTCACAGAACTTCAGTGTGGATACTCAGAACCTGAGGCCTTTGGTGACAGGTCAGAAGTGAGAAGGGGAATGTAGGGTCAAGGGGTACAGAGGAAGACATAACCAAGTGAGGCAGCAGAGCCAAGTTGTGAGGATGAAGAGGTGTGTGTCGGCCAGAGCGGTTTGGGCAGCCAGGACAGCACTGGCAAGGCACAGAGCTGAGAGCAAGTATAGACCTAAGATTTGCCCTCAGTGAACAAGAAAAGCTTCCAGAGACTACTGGAAAGAGTAAGGGTTAGGAAGTGACAGGTGGTGAGACTGAAAAAAAAAAAAAAAGGGCAAAGGCTAAATCATGGAGGCTGCAGAGCATACCAAGGAACAGTACCACTGCCTAAACGTTACAATGTGCAGCATTCCCCAAATGGTTTTGACTGTGGTGAAACCTCTCTGGTGCATAATTTAAAAGAATAGGAGAGCAGAGAACATGACTAGAGGCAACCAGAACAGGGTGGAAGAATCTTCAATTGGTCCAGGGGAAAAGAATGAGGACCAAAAATCGAAGCCTTAACAGTATAGTACCAAAGTTAGAGTCAGGACTGGCTGATCCTGGATGACCAACAGCTTTCTAGCCCTGCTTTCTTCTAAGTGTGGATCCTATCAACTTGATATCGACCCAAGTTTTCACACAATGGAAACCTTGAATGATTTGGGTGTTGCTTTGACAGACACCATCTGTGAAATCAAATAAATGTATTCCAATTCAAGAAAGCTAGCTGTACCTCAGTATAGCACATGCAAGGCGAGCGCTCTACCCCTGAGCCACAACCCCAGCCCCTTGGTATATTCTAATATCAAACTCAGTGACAAGTTCAGACTGGCTCCCAGAAGGAGCTGATAGGCAAGACTGAAGGCTCTTTATCAGGGAGGATTGAGCAGAGTGTAATTTTAAATGCCTCTGATAGATGGTTTTTTACTTGCAGTAATAACCACAAGATAAAGGTCTATTAGTTCACTGGATTATTTTTATCTTCTCTATGGTAATAGTATTCCAAATAAAGATGCAGCAGCAAAGATTCTGTGAGAAAAGTCAGGATTCTTCCCAAGGAAAATTGTTTCCCATTGAAAGCAGACCTCAGTGACATGCTGTTTTTCATTTTACATTTTCCAAGGCTAATCCAAAAATCTTGGCTCATTTTTTCCTAAAGATCCTGATAAGAAGCTATAGGATCTATAAGTACCTATAGGATATATAGTAACATAAATCTAAGCATCTAGGCTGACTGGGGACTACAGTCCACCTGAGGGTCAATCCTTGAAGAAAAACCAAGCATTGGTTCAAATACCGGAAGTGAAGATTCACAGGAGAGAAAGAGATCTAAGGTGTGACTATTACCTGTTAAAGATGTCATCATCTTCTCCTCCCCAGCCCCAGTAATTATTAGGAAATCCATTGATGGTCAAAAACTGTTGTTTACTTAGAGCAGAGACACCTCCAAAATACTGAACATAAGGTAGGCTGGGAGGAAAAAAAAAAACAGAGGATCCATGTGGTTAGTAAGCCTTGACATTCCTGAAAGAAAGCTTGCTGAATTAATACTTTTAAAAGTTACTTTTTATTTTTTGACAGGAGATTTGTGAGGGTTTTCTTCTTTTTTTTTTTTTTTTGCAGTTCTGGGGATTGAACCCAGGGTCTCACACATGCTAGGCAAGTGCTCTACCACTGAGCTACAACCCCAACCCCTCTGTCCCGTTTTGATTTTACATCAGGGCTCACATTATCCTAAGACACAGGTATCAAAACACAAAATCTTCCTTTTTCTAATAATAGTGCTGTTTCTGTGGTTATCTAGAAACCAGTCAGTGACAAGAGTGGGCATAAGCCTAATTCTTCCTCTGTGGCTCAGAAATCTGCTTTCTATGTGTCCTGCTCTTACAAGAAGTCCTTATTCAGAAGGTCCTAAATCTGAGACTGCTTTGAAGTCTTCCTATGCCTATTCTATCATGCGCCCCTCCCCACCTGCTCCTATCTACCAATCTAGTGTTCACTCTTTTAAAGGCATACTGCTTAAACACTAATCCTAACAGCTGAGGCGCCTTTTCTGGAAATTTGCTCAAATAAAATTTTCTTTGAAATTTCTACTTTATCCCAACTTAGCAAAATGCATAACAACAAATCTACTTTTATATTTCCAAGTAGTAGGGCATCGGGGCTCTCATCCTTCCTTACCTTTTTGTATTTCAATATTTCAATGGTTATGAACAGTGGACTCCCAAAGGACACAGAATAAGCACTGATGAGAAAGATCAAGAATCAGGACATGACTCAAAGGCCATACAAAGACCTTCCTGTGGGTCAAATGGTTCAGTCTGTGCTCCCAATCTTAGACTCTTTCTAGACTCCAAAGAGACTAAAAGCCATCACATAAATTAAGAAAAACTCCAGCTCAGACTTTGAAGGGAAGTCACCCAAACCATATAGAACAGTGTGAATTCAAGATATAACTATGATTGTCAAATACATTCAGGAATTCTGACCACAAATATCCACAAGCAAAGATTCTTAATAAGTTGAAGGTAATTTATTTGTAATTAGGTGTCATCACTTAGAGGCCAAGTCATCCATCTACCTTTTGGCATACCTTACACTACTGTCCAACAGCAGAGGTGTCCAGACCAATAGGGTGTTTTGATAATCACTGTTTTTACAAAAATGGATTCTTAGTTACCTCAGTGGAAGTATACATTGAGTTGATAAGCTTTGGTTTTGCTGCCTTTGCTGATTTCTCTTACCTACCTGCTCCATCCCCCAAACCTGACTGGTTCTCTGTAAACCAACATGGTGCTATGGAAAAGAACTGGGTGATCACTTGGGCCCCATTCTGGAAGAACAAGATGGGTCAGGGGATGAATCTGTGTATTTCAAAGAGAGGAAAATACACAGAAAGGGAGGGACAGAGGGAGGACCTGAAGTGGTTATAGCAGGGTCAGAAAATGATATTCCATTTACTTTCCTTCAGCATATTTAGCACCTGAAAAGCTTTGATCTGGGGCAGACCTATATATACCCCCAGCCTTAATGGCCCCAAGCCAGGGAGGGTAGGATAAAGGATGAGAACAAAATGAATCTGACAGAAAGTAGTTGTATCTACACAAAGGACTTGCTGCCTGCACAGCCCAGTTTCCACTGGTTATTTGGCCTAAAATAGGGGTACCTAACATTCAGGGTACCCTGAAGCATACCTTCCTGAGGCATCAATTCTACTTAAAGCAAAGAAGGGACCGGTTATGTTAGTCAACTTATGGGTGATTTAAAAGAATTTTATATTAATACAAATATGAATAAATTAAGTGATAAAAGGCATATTTATTTACTTTTAAAATAGAACAATGAACTACAAGGTCACATTTCGCATGTCAAAATGCTTTGGATTATACCCTTGCCCCTGGGGACAAGTATCACTGGCCTCATCAGTAGAGGCATTTTGGTGGAAAAGTTTGGGCTCCATGCTTAAGCAGAAGCATGTGCTCTGTTGGGAAACAGAATCATGTTCCTTCTTAAAGTGCCAAGAAATTCTGCTGAGGCATCCAACCTCAAAAATTCAGTGGTGGTGATGAGGGGATTATTTCAATTTGCTTTCCAAACTGTGTGGGGGCAGGGAAGAGCAAAAATCAAGAAAACCTAGCAACTATTTGGGGCCTAAAGGTAAGAGTTATCCCAAACATTAAAAACTCTTCTGAGGGGTTTGSRGGGGGGGGGGGGGGGGCCTGGGGTTGTGGCTCAGTGGTAGGGCGCTTGCCTAGCAATGCATAAGGCACTGGGTTCCATCCCCAGCACCACATAAAAACCTAAATAAACAAAATAAAGGTATTGTGAACATCTACTAAAATATTTAAAAAACTAAACTAAAAATATTTTTTGAAAAAACTGTTCTTGGGGCTGGGGTTGTGGCTCAGTGGTAGAGTGCTTGTCTCACATGTGTGAAGCACTGGGTTTGATCCTTAGCACCACATAAAAAATAAATCAATAAAATAAAGGTATTTGTCCATCTACAATTTAAAAAATTAAATAAATAAATAAATAATAAACTGTTCTCATCTGCATACACAGAGATTATAGGCATTTCTGGATTACTTTTTCCTTCTCAAATGATAACTGACTCTATGCCTAAAAAGCTATCATTTCTCAGAGACAGCGTACTCCTTCAGAGCCTAGAGAAACTGTATTTCTTAGTCAACATATAAGAGTTTACTGCACACTCTGGAGAACATCTCTTACCTAAATCCAAACTTGTCCATTGCAACTGAAATGTGCCGTGGCTGTGGGAAACACCTGTAGGCATTGTGGTCATCCATTGGAATGAGGTCTACATCACTAAACACAAAGCAGTTGTAGTCATAGTCCTTCAGGGCTTCTTGAAAACCAATATTGAGGAGCTTCGCGCGATTGAACATGGTATCTCCAGCCTGGTGCAGAAACAAAGAAACTGATATCAGAGGCCATAAGACCTGTGAGCAAAACATTCACAGGGACCGGTGTCATTAGTCAACTCTTGGACCTCATTTTTTTTCTGCCTTTACTTCAGAAATCCACCCTGAATGCCAACCCTGTCATTCAGCAATCCCACTTGTAGAGTTTGCCATGCAGAAAGACTTGCATGTATGCAAATAGCTGAAAAATACACAGTGTGCAACGCAAAAGACTGCAAACATCCCTAGGGAACTGGTTAAGTAAGTTATGGTGCAAACATATGAAGGAATAGAGCTGTTAAAAAAAATAAGGAAGCTCTAAAACAAAAGGTAAAAAAGGCATTTAAACAGATGTATCATTTATATATTTTTTGCACACATACATACCACAAATAGGTTAACTCCAAGAAAGATAAATAGGAAACTGGTGACAGTTGGAATTTTTCATTTCTACCCTCTTTGACTATGGTTTGATTACCAATCATGTGCCTTTCATGTGTCCACCAGTCACTAAAGTAAATATCTGAGAAACATGGTGAACCTAACTCAACCTCTGCCCTCACAGTGCTCATAGTGTAGGATAGGAAGCAGTCTGATATACACCATGACAAAATCAGAAGGTATGAGAGAGAAGGTCACTGGGGTCCAGAGCACCAAGTGGTATACGAGCAATTCATATTTTATTGACTTGTTTATTTTCAGTATCCCTCTCTGGAATGTAAGTTCAAAGAAGGGTAGGATCTTATGTTCTTTATTCACATGTGTCCCACTGTCATATAACAAGAGCTCAATCAATAGTTGTTGGTTGGCTACATGAATGAATGAGTGATAGATGGATGGATGGATGAATGGATTTCAACATACAATGGCAAATGGCAACCCTTTCAGGGAAGATCCAAGCAAAGAGGGGGTGGTCCTCCTTGTACCAATTCCTATGGCCTCAGATTAGTAGGGACAGTCTCAACACTGCAGCCACATCCCTCATACTTAGCAGTTCACAAAGTCTTCCAATACATGTGCTGTCATTCTGACCTCACAATACCACCATAAGGAAACAAAGGCCTAATACTTTGGAATACTCACTTACTACTTTTTCCCATATCTTTTGGGATCAACAAATAAGGGTCCTCTCCTTTGGGAAGAAAATGTCCCACAAGGACTTGAAGTCATTATGTAATCTCAAAAGTGCAACGTGTAAAATCTCTCCACACATGGGAAAGAGTACTTGGAAACGGGTACTCCACAGGCTGCCTGTGTGTGTACAGAGTGCACTCATGCCCCACTGCTGTTCAGCATCAGGCAGGTAACTCAGAAGCAAATATAGAGAAAGACGGATACCAGGAAGTCAGAAAAAGCAGCCAAGAGAATAGTAAATGAACTAAGAAAACATGTTACACATAAGAACGCCTTTCTTCAGCTCCTGACAAAGCTTTCCAACCATGCGTGGTGAAAGGAGAAGGCTGCGCCCAAGGCACACTGCCTGACCAGGTAAGAGTCAATTTGGAATTTAGGGCCCAGCTAATTCCGTGTAGGTTATGGGGCAAAAAGAAGTTCATGTTTTAGAAACTGCATATGAAAACTATGGAGTTATTGAAATTATTGTTATAAAACATACTGCCAATATTCACTAGAAGAATGTCATATCAGGTAAGTGTTCCTAAATTCATGGCATATCAATTATCTTGACAGTTCTCTATAAACACCCTTGCCCCCCTCAACCAGGGTTACTTTTTTTGAATATGAAGCTCCCCTGACCACTTTTTTAACAAGTGAACAGGAGGTATTCCCACAGTTTTTTATACCTGTGGAAAAGACTCCAAGGCTGGCTGCTCAGCTCATGCCATGCCTGTTTCTCTTGGTACACTCCCCCAAAACTGGTGCAAGGGGCTTCTTGATGGCCATCTCTGTACCACAGGGCCTGCTGGCCAAGACTGCTTTTTTTTTTTTTTTTTTTTAATCAGATACCTCATAGAGATTGAACTAAGCAAACTTTCCTTCTTCAGAACTAAAAATTTGGAACCATGAAAGAGCATCCTGGGGCCAAGTCCCATGAACAATGGCAACCTGGAGGAGAAGCCCAAGAAGACCTTCCTCTGGCCCTTTTCCCTATCGGTGCCCTAACTGCTCCTTCAACTCAGAAGAGCACCCCAGCATCTGGCCCATGCTTAGAACTGGTCAGGCAATTTTCCAAAATAACCTGAATTACACATTGTTTCTCCCATCCTCTCAGTATGGCCTCATCTGTATAAACCAGGAAGAGAAGAAGTACATAGTGCATTAGTGGGTGCTATTATCTACCTGAGCCCCTAGGAACACCAGACCTATAGAAGAGTAGATGAGGAAAGAGTGTTTTCCTCTTCCGTGGAATTCCAGAAAAATGAAACATTGAGTATTCACTGTTCATGACAAGAAAGACAAGCCTGGCAAGCCCCACCTTATCTTCCCCAGGGGTGGGAAGATCCCGAGTCTCATTCCCTCCTGTCCTTACCAGGCATATTCACTCTCTATATCTGCTATTTCATTCACTTAAGTGCACATTTATCAGGCACCTATTGTCAGGCCACATCAAATATTAAAGTGTGACAAATGCACACATTTTTATCCCAGGAACACCAGCTTCTTCACATTAGCTAAGTAACTTTGGGCATATTACACCTCTAAGACTTAGTTTCTTATTTTATGTCATGGGGATTGTATTAAATGAGACAACACATGGTGACAAGTTAGCTACTATCACAACACCATCCACCTTGAACCATCAGTCCTTTCAAAATGCCTCTCAAGGATCCAATGTGGAGACTCCACCTTTTCTGGTGTTCACTCATGCCCTTCCTAACCAGCTTCAAATAAGGATTAAGGCTTAAGTTAATAAGTCTGTGGCTCACATGATTAATCTTCAACAGCAGAAGAAAGTCAGGAACCTTTAGAGATTTGTGAAATGCATGGAAATTCATACTTGGTGAAAAGGAGCCAGCACTGGGAGCAGGTGTCATTTTAAAGCCCAGATTTTTTGGGGGGTGGGGTAGGGTGGGATGGGGGTACCAAGGATTGAACCCTAACCACTAAGCAACATCCCCAGTGCCCTTATTTTTTTATTTTTTATTTTTGTGTGTGTGTGTGTGTGTGTGTGTGTGTGAGAGAGAGAGAGAGAGAGAGAGAGAGAGAATTTTTTARTTTTCGGCAGACAACATCTTTGTTTGTATGTGGTGCTGAGGATGGAACCCGGGCTGCACGCATGTCAGGCGAGTGCGCTACCGCTTGAGCCACATCCCCAGCCCCTAGCGCACCTGTTTTTAAAAAATTTTTTAAATTGTCAATGGAATTTATTTTGTTTACTCATATGCAGTGCTGAGAATCCAACCCACCCAGCGCCTCACACATGCTAGGCAAGCACTCTACCACTGAGCCACAATCCTAGCCCCAATCCAGGCCCTTTTTATATTTTATTTTGAGATAGGGTCTCGATAAGTTGCTGAGGTTGGTTCTGAACTCACAATCCTCCTGCCTCAGCCTCCTGAGCTGCTGGGATTACAGGTGTGCACCACTGCCCCTGGCAAAGCCCCAGATTTTAAATGGGGCTTTCACCTTATATTGGTAGACAAGATTTATAGTTATCCTTTCTTTCCAGGGCAACTGGTTGCTCTTAGAGGGAGAAGACAAGGATAAAAAGGCAGGGGGTAATATAAAATCCCCAAATAACTGAGCACAGGCCATTGCAGAATGAGACCAAACTCAGAGGGTGGGTGTGGGAGGGAGAAGACAGTTCTAAGAGCAGAGAAATCCATTGCATGGTGAGAAAATTTGTAAAGGCTCTGAAGAAAAGAGTGCATTCAAGGAACTACAAGAAAATCAGAATGGGTGAAGCCAGAATGATACCTGAAGGTAGAGGTGGACCAAATCATAGGGTTGGAGGCAAGCTGGGCACTTGCTAAGGTACTTAGTCTTTACCTTTATTTAGGTCATAGAGAGCCTTAAAGAATAATTCCATGTCAAGGAGGGATTTGTGCTTCAATCCAAATAAAGGCAGGGAGACCAGTTAGGAACTGTTGTATGATTCATGTGAGAGACATGGACAAGGTAAGATGAAAATACCTCCCTGGGGGCTCTATACAGAGGCTCATCAGGGGATGTGTACTGTACCTGCAAGCAGCCTTTGGACAGGAGGGTGCTGGGAATGTTTTAGGACAGGTACCAGAGTCTGGTCTAATCCCCAGGAAAATCTTTGCTGTAGGTAAGGTAACCCTGACAGATGACCAACTACAGAAAGCCATGCCTCCACACCATGTCCAAGTCCTAACTGTCTCTATAAGATCTTTTTTGACCAACCACCCTGCCTTCCCTGGATGACAGGACCATGTGTGTCACTAACAGGCATATCCCCAGACCATGATGGATTGGGGAAAGACCTGGCCTCTCCTCCAACAAAAGACACAGCAGCAATTAAGACTCGCAGTGAATCAGAATTTCCATAGGATAAGAGAGATGATGTTGCGCCCATACACATGCATGAGGGGTGGCCTATCATAAAGCCACCTCTGCCCCTGGGGTCCACAGTTACCCCAGGCTCTTAATACCACAGATCTAGAAAAGGCAGCATCCTAGGCAGTGACACATCCTAGTGCTTTTCTGTGCATACTCAGATTCAGAGAGAAAGGAACTTGGCCGAGTGGGTTGTGAGAAGGTGGTGATAGATCAGGGGTTGAGGCAGCTCTGGCTTGGGCATTCCTGCAGGCCCACATGTGGATCTTGGGAGAGTAGACCAGCAAGAAGGTGATGCCTAGAGAATTACTGGGAAGAGCCAGGGATTATACAAATGCTGAACTTGTGGAGGGTTAAAATCCACTCATTCATGAGTTCATAGCAGTTGGGTTCTGGTATTTAACCATAATAATATGGTCATCCTGGACTTAGACACAAACTTCAACAGAACTTGGATTTGAGACATAGCTCTTCATCCAATGAGTGTAAGAATTGGATCCTTCAGGATCAAGAACCAG